TTGTTAATATGAGAATGGTCTGCATGACATCGATGTTGTAACCTGGCAGCCAAGAAGAGTGGGCTGGAATGCACACGCGTGAACAATGACAACTTCGCCGTACTTGTCAGTGGGGGCAGTAGACACCACTGAGCATATGTACTGTGTGGCTGTCGCATTCAAAATGACTGAGCGAGTAGAACAACAAATCTGCACCCAATTTTGTGTTAAGCTTAAACATTCCTCCCTGGAAACCATTCGGATGACTCAGAAGGCTGTAGCTACGGGCAACTGCTGTTTGGCAGCTTCATCACGACAACACGCCCGCTTATGTATCATGTCTCGTGCAGAGTTTTTTGGTGAAACATCAAAGCACTCAGGTGACTTAACCCCCCTACAGCCCAGATTTGGAACCCTGCAACTTCTGGCTTTTCCCAAAACGAAAGTCATCTTTGAAAGGGAAGAGATCTCAGACAGTTGATGCGATTCAGGGAAATACAACGGGGCAGCTGATAGTGATTGGGAGAACTGTGGAAGGTTCCAAGGTGCCTACTTTGAAGGGGACTGAGGTGTCATGGTCCTCTGTACAATGTGTCTTGTCTCTTGTATCTTCTTCAATAAATGTCTGTATTTTTAAAATTACATGGCTGGATACCTTCTGGATAGACTTCAAAACATGCCCGACGTGTTGTAGGTGCTCGATAAATGATGGCTATTATTACTGTGACTGTCGTTTCTATTAATGCCCAAAGTCTGATGATTCTCAGCCTGTACCTCTCAGACCATCAGCTCCCCCAAACCATGGTTTCCCAATTATTTGGGGCATCCCCATTTTGGCGACATCTCAGAGGAGCTTTTTCTTCCCTGGGGAGGTGCTCTCCCCACCCCCTCGCTGCTGGTGCTCTCTACGAGGCATGCTTTGCCGGGGGCTGCCCTAAGCCCCCAGAGTAACATAACTGCACTTATGATGGAGAGCATAGTGGCAGAAGTGTCATGTGGACTCCAAAGAGGACGCTGCCTTATGCCCAGGGTCTTGCAACTTTTTTAATACAATTCCTCCATCTTTCGGTCCTAACCCTTCTGTATATAGAAATTCAGGCCACAAGGTCTGTATAGGGGCCGGTATTCCATGCTCCCTACAGTAGACAGATCAACACCCACCCTCCCCCCGCCCCCACCAGAATTGTTCATATTCTAGTCTAGGAACCTGTAAATATGTCAACTTACTTGCAGACCTGATTAAGTTCAGGATCTTGAGATGGGCCTGTTATCTTGTAATATCTGGATGGGCCCAATGTAATTACCTCAGTGAAGGAGGGAGACAACAGGTTAGGGAGAGAAGGCGTAAAATGTGAGAGAGAGAGAGAGAGAGAGAGAGAGAGAGAGACCGTGTTAATGCAACACTGATGACTTTGAAGATGGAAAGAAGCTGCCAGCCAAGAAATGCAGGTAGCCTCTACGAGCTGGAAAACGTAAGGAAACCGATTCTGTCTGAGAGTCTCCAGCGGGGGTTGCAGCCTTGCTGGCACCCTCTGCCGACACCTTGATGTTTAGCCCAATAAGACCTATTTTGGACTTCTGACCTGCAGAACTCTAAGATAATAAGTCTGCAGTTTTTTAAGCCATTAAGTCTATGGTAATTGTTACAGCAGTCGGAGGAAACTCATTCGCTACCCTAATATCCTTGCCTCCTCCCCATACTTCTCTCTAAGGCTTCCTTTAAAGCTTTTCTTTGTTAGCCCTTAACTGAGAGTTTCTAAGTTAATTCATACAGTTGGGAGGGTCCTACCAATTCCACAGCTGGGAAAGCTCTGCTGCTACTCTTGCTCTTTAACTGTATTTGCTCTCTGGCAAACAGTTTATGGTCTTTACCCCACTGACTTTTTTTTTTTTTTTTGAGTGGGGGAAGGGAGGGAGAGAGAAAGAGAGGGAGAGAAACATCAATGTGAGAGAGAAACATCGATCAGTTGCCTTCCGTATGCACTTCCATCAGGGACTGAACCCACAGCCCAGGCGTGTGCCCTGACTGGGAATCAAACCAGCAACCTTTCGTTGTGTGGGACAATGCCCAACCCACTGAGCCACACCAGTCAGGGCTGCCCCACTGATTCTTTTAATAGCAGAAAAATATAGGCCTATAGTGCATTTCTGAGATCCACAATGAATCATACTCTCTTGTGTAGCCACCCATCCAAAAAACGCTACTGTGGGCCAGGCTAATATTGGGATGCTTGTGTACAACCTATGACTTCACAGAGGCCATAGATGTGGATTTTTATGGCTTGAGAGCAACATGCATAGATTATATATACATATATATGTGTATATATATATACATACACACACATATAACACACACACACACACACACATTTGGTCCTATGGGCGTGGTAAGATTTGTTTCTTTCCAAAAAGCAATTGGAGGACATGGAGCCTCTTTGACTAGGTCCTGTAGCAAGGGACAGGAACTGCAATCTGTTTCCATTTCGTCCTCCAGTTTGTATTCAGACCCAGGCAAGAGTTAAAGAGTTCTATGGTCGATAAGCAGAGATGAATGCTGTGCAGGCCCCTACATCTTTGCTTAAGATAATGCTCCTGTCTCTTTATTCTCTCCAGTCCTACTCCCCTGCCTCTGAGGCAGGGAGCTGAGGGTCTGAATGAAACCTGTTAGAGGTTCCAATTAAATTTTTGTGGACAAAGGGCGTGGGAGGCTTCCTCAGATAACAGGTGGCAATAAATCCATCAGCACATCCACGCTGGGAGAACAGAGTCCTTGCCGAGCTGAGCTGCCGCCAGCTGCCAGTGTCTCCCTGAGTGCCCCACACAAGATGGGCTCTAAGGTAAGGAGTTTCTCTCTCTGGCCAAATTCAACCCAAATGTGACTTGTGTTCCTCAACAGAGAATTTTGATTCTAAAGTAAAGTTTACTACTGATTAGTTAGCAAATTCCCAGTTTGGTTTGCTTTGTTTGTTGAGTTTGTTCGTTTGTATTTTTTGGTCTAGCCTTAGGTTAGAGTGCCTATTTTAAGCCATTTTACATCTTCTAGTTTTCTCTCGTTTTCCTTTTAGTCTCTGTATTTCCTTCTTTATGTTTTCTAACTAAATTTGTACTTAGAAATGCATTATTTATACAGGCTCTTAAGTGATCGCATGCATTTTCTTGTTGAAACTTACCTGGGGATTTGGTTCAGTGGGGATCTCTTCGTTACTGAGAAGGGCTGTGTGGATCACGTTCTCCTTCCAGCCCCGTGTTAGAACAGAACGGACTAGCTCGGTACTTGAGGCTGAGTATTGGACCCCGGCGATAAGTATTTAGCTCATTTATTTCTTGTATTATGAAAATCATTAATAATAAAACATTTGGAAATTGCAGAAAAGGAAAAAGAAGATAAGTTAAGTAGTGATCATAATAGTTGATGTTTGGGTATACATTTCCTAGTCTTTTAAAAAAGTGCAAATAAATTTCTTATTTATGTTATTGAGGTCAAGCTGTAAATACAGTTTAATATCCTTTTTTAAACATCATATTAAGAGTATTTTCAAAGTCATTGAAATTGTTTGAAAACATGATTTTAAGAGCTCTTTATATTCCACCATTAAAGTGCTTCACTTTATTATATAAATAATTCAGCAACGCCTAATTTTAGCCTTAAATCTTGGACCACACTTCTGATCGTCCCCTCAGGACGCGTTCTGAGAGGCAGCGTCACCCAGGTAGAGGACATACAATTTTTAGAGCCTGATGCATTTCTCGGCCATAATCTATTTTAAAATTTATATGATTGGTATTGTTGATACCATCACGGAAGCCATGTAAGAGAAAATGAACATGTTTTTCATGTTTAAATCAATTTTTTTCTATTACAGTTGACATACATTATTATATTATTTTCAGGTATGCACCCCGATGATTAGACACTATATATCTCACCAAGGGTCACCCTGATAATCTCGCACCCGCCTGGTGCCACACGTAGTTATTAGGTAGTGTTGGCTCTCTTCCCCATGCTGTCCTTTACATGACTGTTCTGTGACACCCAATTTGTTCTTCTTAATCTCGTTGCCTTTTTCACCCAGCTCCCCTCCCATCTGGCAGCCCTCAAACTGTTCTCTGTATCTATTTTCCCAGGAACTGTTATGACCTGACGTTTAACAAAATACCGTGACTTAGTGCTGACTAATACCATGAAATCCTAAATAGAAAACTAATGGTGAAAGTTAATATTTTGTTTACACGGAGTCACACACGCCTTTCTGAGCAGGGGTTAGAGCTTAAACAAAGGCTGAGAGTGCTCCTAGTACCGCAGAGTAAGGGGCTCTGGGGGCGCAATCCTGCAGGTGAAAAAGCCTGGGACTTCATTCCTGAGGCCCTTCCAGATTGGCCTCAGGTCACACAGTTGGCGGGGCCCAGCCTCGAGCCTCAGATTTGTCATCTGTGAGACCAAAGGCTTAGTCCACACCTGTGCTTCCCGGTCGGCAGCATGAGTCACACTCGTGGCAGGAGTAGATAGTTTTGTGTGTGATACATAGACCTAGGCCATAGCTTGTTTGGGGCATGGCACGTGAAGTTATTTTTTTAAACATGTATTTCGGTTTTCTTAAAGTGGACTTAGAGGGAAAGATTAAGTAAATAATCGTGTACATGGCCCTCAGGTGGGATGTGACCACTGAGGTGGCAGGCAAGTGTCTGACACTGGAGGCGCGGAGCTCGCCGGCCTCCAGAACCCTCCGGACGCGCGGGGCGGAATCCCGGGGCGGAGCGCCGCCGGGCGCGGACTCCTGGACAGGCCGCGGCGCCGGGGCAGTTCGTGCGCGGCGGCAGCGTGAGCGGAGGCGCGGGCGTGGGGCAGTTTCCCATACCATCCTGCCACCTGCAACTCCCTACTTTCTATTTTAATAGTGAGTTTCACGGCTCTGGCCAGACTTTCTCCCCTCTTCTGTGAAGGCGGCAGGAGACCTGCAGGTGTAACAGGACCTTCGCTCAGCGCCCAGAGGAGACGACGACCCAGCGCCACCCTGGCCATGCTCAGGGCGGTTTGGGACACCCCCCGGCGTTGGCTGCGGGAGGGCAGAGAGTCCCGGAGGCTGGTGCTGGTGGTGGTGTTCGTGGCTCTGCTCCTGGACAACATGCTGCTCACCGTGGTGGGTACGTGCAGGCTCTTCGTGTCGGGGGCCATTGGCTCTGGGCCCGGCAACACACCCCCCTCGAGCTTTCAGCGGTGAACGCACCTGAGAGTGTTTCCTTTCATGCCTGAAAGTGCACAGAGGTTGCTGGGAATTGGCAAACAGCCGGACACGGAGTCGGAAACTTGCCAGCCACTGCTGAAAGCTCCCGAGGTTCAAAGGGAGGATTTCAGGGTAGCTGACCAGAGAGGAGGCCGAGGGGGGCGGAACGCGCGTGCCTCCCCGCCCCCCGGCCCACCCGCACCCGAGCTGTCTTCCGGAGGTGCCAGCGGCTCCGGTGGCCTCTGGAGCAGTGGGCATCTTCTCTCTCTGCTGCCTCCCCGGCTCCTGCTCTGCCAAAATAACATGCTCTATATGGATATCCAGCTTTTTATCAAATCCTACCCTTCTGGCGGTCCATTCCCTCAGTCTTGCCTGTTTTGGTTGGTAGTCTGTTCATCTTAACATTCGGTTATGCTAGCATCTAAATGGGGGCTAATATGTTGACCCCCTTGGGTACAATATATGATTTTAAACACGAAGTTTTCTGAACCACATTGTTAATCCAGTGTGCCCAATTCTCATTATGTGTGGTAGCTGTACTCCCTAAAGTTGCTGCAAACACTGAATTTAGCCACTGCTGAATCATTGCTCCTAGGAGAAATACATACACACACATCCCACATAGACTGTAATCTTAAATCCTAAAAACAATGCATCCTGGTAGATTCTATTTTTTGATTCTTTTTAATCTTTGATTAAATTTTTTGATTCTTTTCAATTACAGTTGACATTGAATATTATATTAGTTTCAAGTGTACAGTGTAGCAATTAGACATTTATATAACCTATGAAGTGATTCCCCCAAGGAGCCCAGTCACCTGACGTTATACGTGGTTATACAATATTATTCACTATAGTCCTAGGCCAGACTTTACAGCCCCACGACCGTTCTGGAAAAACCAACGTGTACTCTCCATCCCTTCATTTGTTTCACCCGGTCCCCGCAACTCCCTCCCACCAGGCAGCCATCCGTTTGTTTTCTGTATCTGTGAGTCTGTTTTCTATTTTCTTTTACAAGAGAGAAAATGAGGTTCAGAGTGTTAGGTGCCTCGTCTGAGGCCACCTCACTAACAGGTGCCAGACTTGGGGCTCAAGCGCTGCCCAGGCGGCCCGAGAGCGGGAGCTTCTTGCCCATGCCAGCTGCTCCTCCTGTCTCCAGGCTCGGCCCACTCTGCATTGGCCGCGATACAAAGGCAGAGCCCGCCTTGTTCGGCCTCAGCTGGGAAAGCGAGCATCTGGTGACTCCAGATTTTCCCCGTTCTCTGCACATATGTCCAAGAAAAATCATGACAGCTCCGCAAGTATCGACTTCATGATTACAAATACATTTTAGCCAGTAGGTGAATTAGCCAATGTGAAGTCTCTGAAGGATGAAAACCAATTATGTGATGGTTGGAATTTAGGTACTTCAGCTAATGGTGCCATGTGGGTGGGCACAAGCTTTTAGTGGGTTTCCAATCATGCCACTTAGATGCCTCTCTTGTGCATGAAACTGAACTTCATAGCAATGACTTTGAACTGTCTAGTGTTAAGAAGACAATGTGCCCTTAGCCCTGACCTTTGTCCTTCTTGACTTTCAGTGCCCATTGTGCCCACCTTCCTATATGCCACAGAACTCAAAGAAGTCAACACTTCTCTGCACCCCGCCCCCGCTGCAACCTCCCTCACTTCCCCTGCCTTTTCCAAGATCTTCTCCTTCTTTGATAACAACACCTTGGCTGTGGAAGAAAGTGCGCCCAGGGGCACAGCATGGACCAATGGCTCTTCTGGCACCACCCCCCCTCCGGTCACTGGAGCCATCTCGTCCCATAAAAACGACTGCCTGCAAGACACCAAGTTCCTGGAGGAAGAGAACATACGGGTCGGGGTTCTCTTTGCTTCAAAGGCTCTGATGCAGCTTCTGGTCAACCCATTCGTGGGGCCTCTCACCAACAGGTATCTCCGTGGGTGCTTGGCGGCTCCAGAATAAGAGAGTGGGCTAAGGTGTCCTAGAGGGGGTTAGAAGGGAAAAAGAAGGAAACGCTTGTGTGCCCGCCAGGACAGCCTGCTGTTAGAAAAGCTGGTTACCCTGAAGAGATAGCCTGATGTCGGTGATATGCCATGGGCTTTGGGTTTTCTTAGTGACAAAGCGACTGTTGGCACCCAGAAGAGAACAGGAAAGGGAAGTGCACCTTATGGCAATTTCTCCCGCCAGAGAGGCGCGGGGAGGCAGGCTTGTCATAAGCCAGAGCACTGGCTTCGTAGCAGTTGTGTTTGGGATTATTCTGATTTTTCAAAGGGGAATACACTCCGACAAGGCTATCCTTTCTGGAAAAGAAGATTTAGACCCTGGTCTGTGGGTAACATTGCATGTCTGTTTATTTGCTTATATACATTTATATGTCATATCCATTCTCTACACCAGCATTCAGAGACATGTTTTATTATGTATTCAAATAACTGAGTTTCTCTTCCCCGTTACATGATAATATATAGTCCAGGTATGTGGACGCCTCTTGGAACTGTATCTTTTTTTAAAATTCTCTTTTAGGATTGGATATCACATTCCCATGTTTGCTGGCTTTGTTATCATGTTTCTCTCCACAGTGAGTAAGTAATTTGCTTCCTCCTTTCTTCCCTTCGCTGATTACCTTTGATTTTATCACTTGCACTGCAGTGAAGAGAGCAGCGTCAGCTAGCTAAGTGGCCTATGGTACTGATAGAAAAGCTTTGTAGTTTTTTATATGGGGACTAGAGCAATAATGGTGACTCAGTCTAGCCAGAATTTGTATCTTCTGTATATTCTGCAGAACAGATGCTTCCTTCAGCTGGGGAAAATTGTGAAGGCTTTTTTTACTGTGTATGTTATAGCATGTGTGTGTGTGTGTGTGTGTGTGTGTGTGTGTGTGTGTGTGTTTACCAGTAATCCCTTGAGTAAGTTCAGTACAAACCTCGCAACTGTGGGAAGATGTCGTGTTGTTTTTGGTATGCAAAGGTAAAGGGCAACAAACAAAGAATCTAAATTGGACAAGAGCAATTGGAAAATACCCCAGAGTCTACTGCCTTCAAGTAAGAACATTAAAGGTTAGGAAATGTTCTAGCTTAGGAAAATAAATTTGCTAAAGAAACAAGAAAGAGAAAGACAAATAGTCCATCCACTTTTTGATAAATGTTCTTAATAAAATGGCAGTGGAATAAGAACAGTAAGTGAAAAAAAAAAAAAAAAAGTCCGGGAAGTGACCCTGAGAATGACAAGAAGAAGAAATGAATGGAGTGGGGTTCCTGCAGGGGAGGCGGCCTGTGGCCCCCTGGTGGCCCCCACTGCCCCTGCTGACTCTCTGATCCCAGCGGCAGACCTCCTTAGCCCACCTGTTTTTCTTATCACCTTTCTGTACTTTTCCACTTTTTTAATTGCTTCTCCTTCCAGCGCAGGGCTTGCCGCCTATCACCCAGTGCCCAACGGGAGTGTGTCTCAGTCAGGGCTGGAAGGCTACACAGCGCAGGAGCTGGGTGAAGTTCTGTCTCCAGACTGCAGCTTACTTGAGACAATTCTAGCTGAATCAAAACAAAGGAGGGAATTCAAGTTAGAAGTGTTTATTGAACGTCTAGAAGCTTAGTCTATGCTACACAGTAAATTAAAAACAAGTGATTTGCTGTTTCATCAATTGAGACAGAATTCATTCCACAAAACTCTATGAAGCATACATATTATGCCTTGATGGCAAAAGTCACTGAAGGAATGTGAAGTGTAGAGACACATTTCCAGTTCCCCAGGACTTAATGACGCTCTTACTGAGCAGAAAGAGTTTGTCCACCTGCACGAGCTGAGCCAAACCCTAAACACTGAGAACTGCTGGGGAGAAATATTGGCTATTTTATTATGAATGGCACCACCTAGGAGAACGGGAAACTAATGCTCAAAAGCCCAAACTCCCTGAGGGCATGGAGGTTACAGATCCTATAAGGCAAAATCACAAGACTCCATGGGTTAGGGGGCTCAGGGTCGCACTGGAAGCTTATTGGTCGTTTCTTCAGGTCTCCAGGACAGTTCTGAGGTCTGTTCCCGCGTCCCCCTGTCTGGGCTCATGGGAAAGCAGCCAGGGGGGCGTCCCGGCCTGGGTCTCAGAAGCTGACGCATGACTTAGGTCAGCATGTTATCTTTGTCCTGCGGAGGGCTGGACCTTGTGATCATCAGTCGGTTCCCGCGGCTGTCTCCTGCTGCCCCGGGGGTTGTTGCTAGTTCAGGGGAAAGGCTGGGCCGTGAAGGATACATATCCAGGGTTCAGCACAAATAACGCCCCTTTTTTATTACATAAAAATCTTTTATTACAAAGTCATAAGCATGTAATTTTGTAACATAACAATATCACACTCAAGCACACCATAGGACATTTTAGACAAGATGTTCAAATTGCTGTCCATCTTGTGTGAGACATTCACGTACTCCACCAACCACACTCAAACAGGAGTTACTTCTGCCTTTGTCTCTTTCTCTCTCTCTCTCCATATATATATATGAGAGATGATTTCCAGAGCTAGGACGTAAAGCTAAATTTAAACAAAGTCATAAGAACCCCTAATTTCAACCCTGGGGAGACCTGACAAACACCCCACAGAGTAAGTTAAGGCTAGAGGATCCCATAGACTTTTTTTTTCTAATTTTTATTTTTTACTTTTTTATTACATTATTTTTTATTGTATTTTTTTCCATTACCATTTATCCCCCTATACCCTTCCACCTCCATCCACTCCCCTCCCCATCAGGATCCCATAGTCTTTAGCATAAAGTCCCAGCTTAAAAGATTTTCTTATCTATCAAATTGTATGTATTATATTACATGGTAATCATTGTTTCCATACCATAACCAGTGTTTCTCTACTTGAGCTGGCCTGATTCTAGCGAACAGCATTTGGTGTTTAGTGCCCCCTGTGTATGTAGCATTCAGTTAGGGTTTTGAAATACTAAAAAGAGGTTGCTGCTGCCCATTGCCACCCCCAAGGGCCCCCAGCTGGGAACCACAGTCAACCTAATTAGGAGTTAATGGCCCGTGTTAGGGATGTGAAGTAAAAAAGAAATTGCTTTGGTCTTCCTAGGTAGGATGACCAACCATCCTACTTTGCCTGAAATTGAGGGGCCTCCCAGGATACAAGACTTTTGGTTTTAAAGCCAGAAAATCCTAGGCAAACAGGACAAACCGAGAGGAGCTGGTAAAGGATATAGGAAGAGCTGACCTTGAACAGACTGGAAATCAGAAGGCCTGGGAGCGGGCACTGGAGGCCCAGCGAGGGAGACCAAGCACGTGCATGTTTGGGAGACAGTGTGATCACGTCGGGAGGGAGTGGGAGAATATAAGGCATCAGATGAGCAAAGACTTCTGTAATGAGCGGGCAAAGGGATTTCGTTCTGCTGACGCAGCCGCTCTGGGAGGCGGTCTCCGGTCTTTCGTGGGCACTGCCTTTGAGCTGGAGGTGACGCATGTCTGCACTTACCAACCTCACCACCAACACCCTACAATTTAGTTTTTGATAACGTTTCTATTTGGTTCTCAGTGTTGTATCTGTTAGTCTCTAGTACACTGAACCTCTTCAAGGGCATGAACTGAATGTCTCTTTACTTCACATCTGCTAAGAGTCTAGCACAGTTGCATGTTCAGTATTGCTTAGTAAATACTCACTGAATTGATTTGGCTAAAAGATTTTCCAATATAAGGTAAGGGGAAAGATCTGATTGGATAGCAAGATATTATTTTACTCTCTACCCAATGCCTATGGTCCCTCAGTACACATAGCTTTTTATCCCCACCTTTCAGGTGACCCACTGTGAGGCTGAACAGTGGCAAAGGTCAAATCTGGGTGTTGCATATGGAGGATCCAGAAGTAGGGTCAAAGGGCAAGTTCCCAGCCCAGGGCCTTGGACTTCTTAGACAGCCCTGATTTCAATGGACAGAATGTTGGATGTTGGGCTTCGGTCAAGAAATGTGGAAATCCAGCCTCCCATCTCCCATGCGGTGGATCGGTTTATGCTTCCGTGGGTTCTCAGCCTTCATACTAATTAAAATGCAGTCCCAATTCAAGGGTGGGAAATCAGAAAGACGACTCTGAAAACAAGGAGCAGCGAGCTTGCTTTATTAAAACCCAGGCATAACGGGTTTATTAAAACCCAGGCTCCCACTAGTAATGTCAGGGGCAGGTTTTCCAGTGGCCAGGGAACCAAGGCAGTTTGCTAACCGGGGCATTCTCGCCTTTCTCTTTGCCCAGTGTTTGCTTTTTCTGGTACCTATGCCCTGCTCTTTGTGGCTCGAACCCTTCAAGGCATCGGATCTTCATTTTCATCTGTTGCAGGTAACACTGACACCTTACACACGTGCACATGCACGTGCACACGCACGCACAGACCACCTTTTACGATCTGACTACCTTCTGACCCTACTGTAATATTTATTTGAAAAAATTAAAGAAAATACCCTTGAAGGCAGAAATTATGATTCAAAAGCAAGATAATTATAGAGCTGCTAGCAGTGCCTGCAAATCCCTAAGCCTGACGTCCCTTCCTCTGATGGTGCTGAGAGGCAGCTCGCTCAGGCCAGAGCAAGCCCCAGGGAAAACCGGGAGGTCGGCCAGGCCTTTACTTAATGCCACTCCGCGCTCTTTTCTCTGTCTCTTCTCACCATTTTATAGGAACAGTGATGTTAGCAGCACCAGTCCAGTCACAGCATCAGTTTGCAAAGTGCTATCAAACACGGTATCAAGTGTAACCCTGCACCATGTCACACATGAGTGCGGGGACAGGAGCACCCAGCCCGCCCCCTCTCCCAGACACACAGGGCTTTTGCCCTTGTCCTTGGGTGCCCCTGATGAGTAGAACAGTGCTCCAGGGTCATGGGGTTTCCCTTCCTTTACTTAGTCCATATTTATTCATTCAGGAAAGGTGCCAGGAAATGATAAAAAGATATGAAATCCGGTGTCATGGGACAATGGTATTCTGTGTTACCCTTCCCAGAGACATTTTCAAGAACATTCTGAACAGAAGGGGTGAGCAGTGTGGGCGTTTGGAGGGGCCAGTGGGGAAGTATGTAAAATACTGTGGGTTAAGTTTTGCAAAACCCCTCAAGCTGAAACTCTAGCGGAGATGCTGACTCCATCTGTCTCTCTCCTTCAGGTCTCGGGATGCTGGCAAGTGTCTACAGGGACGACTATGAGAGGGGCCAAGCCATGGGAATCGCCTTGGGCGGCCTGGCTCTGGGAGTGCTGGGTACGTGCCTCCTGGCCCCAGATCCCGGATCATGCGGGTGGGGTACTGCGGGCTCTCCGCAGATGGCTCCAGGAAGCAGGTGTTTCTAAAGTCATGGAAGACACTATTTTCTTTCTTTCTCCGTCCAATCATGTTTTGAGTGCTTCCAAAATTTTGTCCTGGGAAGGTGAAATCACTTGTCCCTTAAGAAGCTGAATAGCCCTTAAGGGCCTGGGAATGGTCTGGAAACCTAGTCTAGTCAAGGGAGCAAATGTCCGCATGTGAGCAGCCGCTGCCTCACCTCTGCTTCCCCACGGGGTCAGCTTTCAACATGAGAACACACTCTTGGTCAGGTTTTGTGCGGTGTGCATTACAGACATCATCTCCTTTAATCCTCAGCACTGTGTTGTGAAGGAGGAGTGGCTGTCCCCAACACAGAGATGACAATAGGGAAGGTTAATAGCCATCTAAGGCCACACAGCCAGGAAATGCCAGAGCCAGGATACAGATGCAGATTTTCTGGCCTTGAATCAAACTTCAAACCATGAGGCTATCCTTCCTTTAAGGTTCATCCCTCTTATGATTTAATTGACTAGTCCAACAAGCCGCATACTTTTACTGAGTATTACCTGCCATGCACAATGCTAGCACAGAAGAGATATAGGCAAGAAGCCCCAGACACGGGTCCTGCCCTATAGGAGCTTGCAAGCTAACTGGGGAGAAAACACCAAAAACCTCTTGCCTGACCCACACCCCACCCTCTACCACCACAGGGAAGGGATGGAACAAAACCCCTGCTCTTTGTTAGCACCCACCTACCCAGACTCCCAAGCTGGAATGGCCAAGTAGATGCTGTAACTTAGCTGTCTGGCTTCAACCATCCCCACCTCTACTCTTCCTCTCCCAAATACACAAATTCTAGGAGAGCTGCCTCTCTTCTATTGCTTCTCCAACCGCACTCTCTTTTCTGACACCTCTGTGTTCTTCGCACATGGTTCCTCCCCACCGGTATCATCCACCTGACAAAGCCCTGTGACCTCCTGAGCTCACTCCACTGAGCTCAGGCAGCCCTTTGTAGATGGAACCTTTACTGTTGAACTTCGCCCATTACCATGTTCTAGTTATTTGCCCCGCCCCCCACCGCCATGCTCATTTCCTCCACTAGCACGCAGAGGCCTTGGAGCCAGGTCTTCTTCAGCTCTGAATCCCCAGAACCTCCTGTGGAGCTCAGCTTCTAGGCCTTCAGTAAACATCACGGGGCCCGTGTGGACAAGCCACGCTGCCTGGGGCCTGGCCCTCACCTCTGGAATCTCCATCTGCTTTGCCTTTCCAGTGGGCGCTCCCTTCGGGAGTGTGATGTATGAGTTTGTCGGGAAGTCTGCACCCTTCCTCATTCTGGCTTTCCTGGCACTACTGGATGGAGGTAAGTCTCCCTAAGAGGCCACCAGGCAGCTGACAGCCCAGGTCAGGTTGGGGATGTATTATGCTGTGGTGTCGGTCTTGACATGTGTGAGTGGATTGAGGACTGCCCTGTCCTAGGAAGGAAGGAAGAAACTCGGGGAGTTAGATCAGCACGTGTTTGGTGATAGCAATGCGGCTGTCACTGGCGCCTCCAGCTAATCAGTGGATAAGCTGCACCGTCTCTCTCCCTCTTTCCTCCTTAGCACTCCAGCTTTGTATTTTACAGCCTTCCAGATTCTCTCCTGAGGTGAGTACCCACCGAGCCCCCGTGCCGAGGGCTATGGAGAATGGCTGAGGGCAGTGACCCAGGCAGCCCTGGGCCGTCCCGGCCAAACCGAAGGGAGAAAGGGGAAGGGGAGTGGAGTCAGGGGAAGTGAGAACTGTGCTTGGCTTCCCAGACAGAGCTGCATTTAGGGTCGTGTGGGGGATGGTGCGGGACTGGCTTGATGTTGGGCAAAGGTGAAGGAAGGGCCCTGCAAAGAATCAAAGAAACCTTACGTAATACACACACACACAGGGTCACGCACCGCATAACTACTCTTTGGTCAACAAGAGACTGCGTATGCAGTAGTGGTCCCATAGGATTATAATAGAGCTAAAAACATTCCTACCACCTAGTAACCTTAGGTGACATCATAACCACCTTAATGTTGTGGCGCCATGTGCCACTCCTGTCTGCGGTGCGAACAAACCTCCAGGGCCGCCAGTTGTATAAAAGTACAGCACATATAGCTGTGTGCAGAGCATGATGATAAGAATAATAAACATCTATGTTACTGGTTTCTGTACTTTACTGTACTTTTTATCATTATTTCAGAATACTCTTTCTACTTATGCAAAGAGAGTGTGTGGTTCAGCAGTATGCTGTGCTACACCAGCAACGACGTCATGCACCTCATAGTTACTGCGTCTCGTGTTTGCATGCTTTTCTCCTGTGCTTGGTTTACTCTCGGGATGTTGGACAGTAACGTGCTGTACATGCTTGTAGCCTGGGAGCAATAGGCTGCACCGTATACCCTAAGTGTACAGCAGGCTCTAACATTTAGGTTTGTGTAAGTGGGCGCTATGATGTTGGCATGAAGACAAAACTGCCTAATCACATTTCTCAGATGCATTCCCATCATTAAGCAGTATATGACTACATATATATGACTCTCTCTCTATATATATTCATGTGCTAAGTTTATATATACTATATATACAGTCATGAGTTTAATATATATTTAATATATAGGGTGGAACAAAAGTAGGATTATAGTTATAAGTACATGAAACAGAGTTTATTCTTGTATTCTCATGTATTAATTATTGTATTGTTTTCCATACAAAGGAGACAATAGCTTTGGGACCTGAGTATTGGTCGATACAATGTCCCAGAGCTGAGGAGACCTTAGAGGTCATCCAGGCAGCCTCCCCTTCCCCCCAAGAGCGCCCTTACAGTTAAATGTCGGAGTTGGTATTTGTCTGCCCCCAAGCCAAAGATGGCTCTCGGAAGCTCATATCAAACCATGAAGAAAGAAAGATAAGAAATACAAAAAACATAAGAAAGTTTGTTCTAAATGCCTTGGATTTGTAGCCAAGTCAGACCAAAGTGGGGGTAACCTGGGAACCCGCTACTTGGGGTTGGCATCTGAAGTTGGGGCAGCCGGTGGGCGGGGGGCGGGGGGAGCGGCGGCTGAGCCCTGACCCCGCGGGGTCGGTGCGACTTCAGGTCCACACGCTCTCAGATTCCGTGAAAATAGGGGAGATTTACATACTATACAAATGGAAGTTTTTGTTGTCCATGTCCTCAGAGCGCCAAGGGGACTCCACTCCTTACACTTCTCAAAGACCCTTATATCCTGGTGGCTGCAGGTGAGCTGACGACACCGCCTGGGTTGGGGGGGTTGGGGCTGCGGGGCAGCCACGGTGGCTCACAGGACTGTCCCCCCAGGCGCCCTCTGCTTTGCCAACATGGGAGTGGCCATGCTGGAGCCCACGCTGCCCATCTGGATGATGCAGACCATGTGCTCCCCTGAGTGGCAGCTGGGTAAGTGACCTTGGTCCCCGGCTCAGGCTTGGGCAGAGGAGGAGGCCACGGGCCCTCTCTCAGGTGATCCAGGAGCATCGCCCGGTCCAGGTCTCCAGGGCCTCAGAGGGACAATGTGCTTCCTTCACAGAATTGCTGCCCATTCACACCCAGGAATCAAGCCTGACCGGGTGGGTGGTCCCTCCAAGAAGCAGCCCGAGGGAGGCGGAGGCGTAGGGTTGACAGGGCTACAGAGCAGCAACTTCCTGCGTGGCTGAACCATTAAAGATTTCTAGTCAGAGGACGCGGGTTTTCATTTCTATTGATTGGCTATACAAACTGTGCAAATCACAGAAATTTGCTGAGCATCACTTTTCTCATCTCTGAAATAGGCCATCAGTTCAAAGGGTCGTTGGAGGAATAACTGGCAATCTTGCACCCCTGGGACATTAATAGCACCCCTCACCATCCCCATTTTCTCTCTGCGACTCCCCTGCCCCTGGATTACTTTTTTAACATTATTTTTATTGTAGTTTTTCCATTACCATGTATCCCCCCCATAATCCTCTACCACCTCCACCCAACCCCTCCCCCCCAATCACCGCACTGTTGTCTGTGTCCACAAGTTCTTTCTTTCTTTTCTTTTTGGCTCCACCCCCCCCCCCCGCCCCCCGCCCCCCCCCCGCCTCAGGCAACTCCGGCTTCCCAAGCTGTCAGCCTGATCTCTATCTATGAGTCTGTCTCTATTTCGCTTGTTAGTTCAGTTTGTCCATTAGATTCCACGTCTGAAAACAAAGCAACCTGAGATAGGCAGCAAAATCTCAGATTACTTTTTTGCTATCTCTTCACCTCTAAGAGAGGACTCTGGAGCCTGCTGTTCTGTCTCCCTCACCCATGGACAGTGCTGGGCTCTGTACCCCAGTGGGGAGCTCTGGGCACAGGAGAGAGGCCTCCAGCCTCCTCCGCTCCTTGTCAGGAAGCCTGAGGACAGGGACAGAGACAGCTACGTGCAAAGTGCTCCGTCACTGCAGGGAGGAGAGGCTTATGGGGCCAGAGGGGAAGCCGATAAGGACCTGATGCAGCTCAGCATGCAATAAAAAGCACTAAATCTAATTTTTTAGGGGACAGTTCTAAGCAAGCCTCCCAGCCCCAAATTGAATTTTTCGGGGCAGCAGCTGCCTCTGACCATGACAATTAATTGAGTTAGTCAGTGCTTGGTGCCAACCAGCATCCCCTGCCCCGAGGCTCTGGCTGTGTACATGGGAACCACAGCTCAGAATGGCCCTTCCCCGGCCTTTTTCACCCAAAGGAGAGAATATAAAAAGCAAACCAGCCATCAGCCAGTGACTGGTGAATTGTTGACTTTGAGCTTCATTGTAATCGTCACAATAGTTTCTATAAGGCAGCTCCTTGCCTCTTGCTAGGAGAGACAGAATGGCAGGTGAGACACCTGAGGAAGCTCACAGGGTGACTTCACACGGTCCCCTTTGCAGGAACATCAGAGCTCAAGGCGGCTGTCTTCCTCCATCCCTTACGCCGGTCCTCAGTGCCATCTGTGTCGAATTGCCTGGAAAGCTGGTTAGAACGCGGGAATCAGGGCCCCTCCCAGCAATACAGTGACACAAGTTTGCATTCCAAGATTCTGGGTGATGCTGAGGCAGCCTCAGGGACCCGCCCTTCGAAAAATATTGCCCTAAATGCAGAGCACCTCTCCCCTGGTGGGGGGGACAAGGGAGATGAGGCCTCTGAGAGGGGCTGCCATCTGCGACTGAGCACTCAAGTGGCCCGTGCGCCCACTGCTGTCACCGAGGGCAGGGAGAGACAGGCTTGGCTGGGCGTGACTCCCAGGGGCCACTTACTGGTTGTGACCTTGGATAAGCTTTCTAACCTCTTATGAACTCCACTTTTTTCTTTGTAAAAATGGAGCCGCTTCTCAGGGATGTTCTTTGGATTAAATAGTTACATGATTTCTAAAAGGATTAGCACCATGCATGGCATACAGGATACGCTCAGTAAATTAAAATCATTACTATTTTGTAACTGTTTTTGTTTAAATCACTTTGACAATCACAGCTATGTGACGTGCCCACCCCTTGAAAATGCGCTGGGAAGAATAGATGTGTGTGTATAGACACACAGGCTGGAACACTTCTTTTGCACAATATGCCACTGAAGTGCAAGCTCTACCCAGGTCCTAAAGAACAAGCCACTGTCATGGAGGAAAATCCTATTCAGAAAGTTTCACATCCTTTAAAATGACATTAAGACAATAATCTAGGCAGCTAGTAAGCTTTCTAGAGGTACTTGTTTCCAGATAATCAGGTAAATAGTTGAGTGGTTATAACTTCTAATGTTTTTAAACCAATTAAACATAAACAAATAGGTGCAGTTTGAAACAGATTGCCATGCTGTACAACAGGTCGACTAGACAAACCCACTAAGACGTACTTCACTTCCACCCAGAGGAGAGAATATTAAAAGCAAACAAGCCATCAGCTGGTAACCGGGGAACTGTTGACTTTGGGCGTCATTGTAATTGTCACAATCATTTCTATTAGGCAGCACAGTTTCCTGCCAGTGCAGGGAGGCAGAAGGCCTGGTGAGGCCTACGGAAACTCACACCGCTGATGCCAAGTCATCCCTGTGCCAGAGCCATCTGGCTGCCGCGTGGGGGTGTGGGTGGTGGGAACACCTGGTGTTGGAGCGAGAAGTCCTGGGTCCAAGTCCTAACCCTGTTTCTTACCAGATGACACTAATTAAGGCCGGCGTTCAGCGGGGACTTAATCTGGGCCGGGAGCTATGCAAAAGGGTTGATGTGCATGATGTCAATGAAGCCTCACAGCCAGCCTATCTCATAGGAATTATGTTATCCCTGGTCTTTAGGGGCTCCTTATTCTGACCCAAGTTCCCATTACCCACCCACCCCAAACCCTGGGCCTTAGGGAACTCCTCGTCAAGGGCAGGGTCCCAGTGCCCGAAGCCTCGTCTCTGCATGCGTCCCTCGTCTTCCGGGGCTGACACCGGGGGTCTCCTGGGAACGCCCTTTCCTGCAGCCCCCTGAGGGCTGTCCAGCTTTCTCCTTTGCTCTCCTTTGCTGCTTCTGAATGATTTCTCCTTCATTCTCCTTCGAAGACCCCAGCTCCCTTGAAGGTCTTGTTGTTGAGTTATACCGCCCACCCCTCAGTTACCCCTTCTCCATCATTAAAGCTGCCACTCTTGTTCACCTCTACTCCTGTCACTGGTTTTGGTGACATCAATATCCAGGTAGATAACCCTCTAACATCCAGGCCTATGCCTTAATCTACCCTTTTGCAATAATCTTTTCCTCCTCTCCACCTTAATCAATCAAAACTTTACAGAACCTTGACCTTGACGTCATCATTAATGGTATCCCCTCTGAAGTCATCATTTTCGCCTTACACATATTCTGCTCAGGTTTTCTAATCCCACCACATCAACAAATTTTGACCACTTTGAGATCACCATTGGTCTCAATTTTGTTTTGTTCATCACTAATGCCTCCACTTCTTTCTTTATTTGGCTTGGATTCCATCCAGATGGATCTAAGTCCACCATTAACACCACTTCTTAGAAAGTGTTGGCGTTCCTTTGCCCACCCTCTCCCTGGGGTTGTCACCTGGCAAAGCCTTGACCCTGGTCAAGCCTATCTGGTTGCCGATGCTTTGTCTTCACACGAGCAGTGGAATGGGACTGTAGGAAAACGCACAGCCACGGTGTTGGTCTCACCTTAGTTTTATGGCCACAAATCTAAAATAGGTTCTTTTTCTCAGCTCCACTATAATCTTCTTTTAAATTGTATTTCTAATTAAAGTTGACTAAGGTAGGTTTTTACACCATCCAACAATCATTGTATAAGCCTCCTAGTATGTTCTCCATCGCACTTTCCAAAATGACTCTTTTACTCTTCTCTGTTCAGGCCTCTTATACAACCTCATCCTTTCACTTTGTCATTCTCAACTCCCGGTCACAGAGAAAATAGGAGAAATGAGGAGGGAGCTCACGTGTTCCCATCGCAAAGCATACTCACTTCGCTGCTCCCGTGCCCACATCACTGCCTCCTCTCTATGGCTGGAGCATCTCAGCTCCCATCAAAGACCAAACTCCTTTTTTTGTCCCTTGGCCCCTGGGTTCCATCCCATTCCACCCACTCCGTTGGCTGCTCCTTTTCCCCTTTTCTACATCCTCCCTCTCTGCTAACCTTTAAAGGTAGGGGTCCTCAGAGGCGCAGACCGTGGGTCCCTGCTCTTTTCGACCTGATCTTCTGTAGGTGAGCCCGGCCATTCCCACGGCTATAGGAACGACGCATAAGCCAGTTAGTCGAACATTTTTATCTGCGTGTGGGGCCTTTCTCTGGAACTCCAGCCTTGCGTGCCCAACGGCCCGATGTCTCCAGCTGGACATCTGATAGGCCTTCTGAGCCTTTTCTGAGCCTCCAACCTCTTCCTTCATCTCCAGTCTCCAGCCACCCAGCTGATTTAGACAAAAACCTGGAAGTCTTCCTTGATTTCTCTCTTCCCCCCACTCCTGCTGTGCCTGTACCCAATCCAACCAGGAATTCCACTGACTCCCCCTGCAAAATGCCTCCCGCCGGATTCCCTCCTCTCCACAGTGACTCCCAGGTGGAGGTGCTATCATGTTTCTCCTGGGTTTGGCAGGTCGCCTTCCACTCTTGTCCTGTGAAGCCACTCTTCTACCACGACCAGGGGCTTTAAAAAACAAATCAGAGTATGTCATTCCTCTCCAAAACTTCCCCTTCCACTTCACATAAGTTCCAGGTTCCAGGCACGCCCTTCCCGTCACCCGCCACTTCGCTCAGTGTGCCTCGGCCACGTGGGCCTCCTTCCTGTCCTGGAACAGGCTCAGTGGTTCCTTCTTTAAGTATTTGCATGAAGTGGTGCTGGGGGGAGGGGAAGGTTGTTTGTTTTTGTTTTATGTTGTTTTCCTGCTTGAAAACTCTCTCTTGGTTATTCTAGTTTCAGATTAAATGTCGCCTTCTCAAAGAAGCCTTCCCTGACCCCCCAGATCTAAGTCAGCCCCACTTCTGGTCATTCTGCCACACCGCCACATTATATTTTCTTCATAACACTTACCAGTTTTCAAAACTATCTTTTTCATGTATTTGTTTACTTATTTATTGTCTGTCTCCCTCCCTGAGACTAGGATTTCCTCTATCTTATTCACTGCTCTCTTCGTAGCCCCTAGAATACTTGGCATATAATAAAAGCTCATTTAAAGCACTGAATGAATGAACAGATGCCTGAGACTCAGCGGGGTAAATAAATCACCCCGGGTCACAGAGCCAACAATTGGCCAAGCCACGGAGTGAATCCGGAGCCGTGGGCCCCACAGTCCGCTCCAGAGTGCCTGACGCTGCTGTCACAGAACACAGTGTGACCTGGCTTCAGTTTACAAAATATTTTATATTCGTTTTCTAATTGGCTCCTCACTGTAAGCTACTGTCATATAACCATAGCTTTTGTTTTTCTCAGGTGTGAAACCAAACTCAGAAAGGTTTACTAACCTATGCAAATCAGGCCCTAAGTGATAGAAAGGCAGGGAAATAGCAAGGCAAGGATTGCACTTCCCAGGAAGTATGTATGTCTTTCTCTAATGCTCATCTTCTTCTACCGATGACCGAGGGTATTTTATACATGAGAATGGCTCGCTGGAGCTGTTCACCCGGAAGTCTAAGTGGGGAGCTGGAAGTACATTACACATATTGAAGCTAAACAAAGTCCGGCTCCTTAGGAACACAGAGGTGTGGGGTCCTCTGTCATCCACTCTGTGTTTGCACAGAGGTCTCCAACTCCCAAAACAAACTGCGTTCTGATCCTTGAAGGTAATGGAGGGGCTTAACTGTTTTATAGGGTCAAGGGGTTTTAGAATAAACAGGGGTGTCCTGAGGTGCGGACCTGTGTCTTTCTACAGGTCTAGCTTTCCTGCCTGCCAGCATGTCCTACCTCATTGGCACCAACCTCTTCGGCGTGTTGGCCAACAAGATGGGCCGGTACGTAGACTGGGGATCTGGGAAGAGCAAGAGCAGTGTAAGACAGGACAGCCTTTTGAGGTTGTCCCTGCGCCTGGGATGGTGAACAGCTTCTCTGAGGGGGAAGGTTTAGGACAAGCACAAAAACTGCCCACCGGGAGGATGGGCCAGACAGGTGGTGCGGGCCGTGAGGGGGAAGGACGGCCGGTCCCGAGCTGGTTGCTGTAGAAGAGGCAGTGAATATCTGAGGGTCAGCCTTCCCTTTCCAGATGTGTGCTGTCCACCCCTCAGAGAACAGGTAGGAGAAAATAACCCCTCAGAGAACAGGTAGGAGAAAAAGCTGTGCTGTGGGGCAGTGGTTGTCAAACTGTGCTCCCCCGGGGGCGCCGCAGAGGCCCCGAGGGCGCGGGGAAGAGGTAGGAGTCTGGATGCTGTCCCTCCACCACGCGGAGAACAGCTCTGATTTCATCTTTGTAGCACAGTGTACAGAATTTAAAAATAAAGACAAAAACAAACAAACAAACAAAAAACACTGCTCTAGGCACCCAGAGAAGGAAAGAAGTTTGGTGTTACTTTTTTGTGGTTTCTGAAATGGGTCTTGAAGAGCAAATAAAATATGAATGGGGGAGAGGTTGTCTGAATTGGGAGACAGGATGAACTAAGTGTGAAGGTAACCCCCATGGGGCCAGTACGTCTCAGCCAGCTGGTTCCTCTTCTAAGGGAAGGAAGACTAGCTCCCGTCAGACCTCCTCTGCCCCTGCTCTGGGAAGAGGCATGGAGCCAGGGAAGAAATGGGAGAAAGAAAGGGCTCTCCTGGGTGCAAACTGGCCACTAGAGATGCGTTCATCTCCCGACATCCCACGGGGTTCCTGGAATTAAGGGTGGTAGGACTAGACAGTGTGGTGGTGATGGGGTGGCAAGTGGCAGGGATCTCTCCCCTTGGCACTACTTAATGACAGCTCTTTTTCCCAGGTGGCTTTGCTCTCTGATTGGCATGGTGGTAGTAGGTACCAGCTTGCTTTGTGTAAGTATAATAAGGTCTTGTTGAGAGAAAGAGAGGGATACCCAGACATTTAAATGCCACTGTCCTTTAAAATGAGCAGAGGGTTGACTTTGGGAGGACTGTCAGGAAGACCATTTCTGTGTCAGTAGGAATTTAGCAGCAAGAGAGCTGCCACCAGGCGTCCCACCGGAGAGAGGTGGGGGAGGAGGAGGAGGGGCGATGGGAGGGCTGGAGCCAGGGGCCCAGGCTCTGTGCTTGGGCGTAGGAAGCCGTGCACGCCAGTGTCTATTTCTGGGCCAGCCGGAAGGTGCATTTTGTGACTTCATTTGTTCACCCCACCCTGACATAGCCCCATAAGCCACTAGGTCAACCATCATGTGTGCCTCAGCCCCCAGCACCAGACTCTTAGGTAGAAGAAGAGGGAGAGAAGGGCTTTTCCATTTTCAAGAGCCCCCTTCGTGCCCCCTAAGCCTTCGTTTTCTCCTCTCCATAACAGGGATCGTAGGCACACTGACAGGGCGGTCAGGGGGTCCCCGACCACAGCAGTGTCCGGCACATAGTGCGCCCCCCGTGACACTTAGCCAACATCGTCAATAAAATATAAATACCCCTTGAGGAATCTTTCCCAAAATTAGCTTCAGCCACTACCATCTAAATGACATATCAAACCTCTGAGAGGTGAGTGTGTTGGGGTAGCAGGTTGGGTGACAGATGTCCAGGGAGGGAGGGCAAGAGAATGAGTGTCACAGGCGTGCTGATGTGGCACCAAACATGCTACCTGCCCTCTAGCTTATGCGTAATTGGTTGTTGGTACCTCCTCTTTTTCTTGCTCCAGTGGCTACCAAGCTAAGCCTTAACCTAGACCTTTGGATGCTGCTAATAGAAATGAGAGGAACTCCATTCAGAGAAGAAGGAGGACACAGAAGGGTGTGTTGGGGGCGGGGGCGGGGTGGAACATGGAGAGGGAGAGTCCATGCAACAGAAGAGGACCATTGTTGTGATACAATGCAGTCAAACCTGAGGTTCAAACTTGATCTTGCCACTTATTAGCTCTGTAACACTGGGTAGGGCATTTGACCAAACAGCACCAATCTAGTTATCTAGTTTTCATATCTTCACAGGGGAGGTAAAGAGTATTGTTCATAAGGAGGTGTGAGAACCCTAGCAGATAATGCATGTGGCACAGAGCACACATGAACGCAGTTCAGGTGGACGTGCTTTGCTGCCGAGCAGCCCCGCGTGGCCCCGCTGGGCTCCTGATGAACTCTCACTCCTGTCCTACTGCAGGTTCCTCTGGCTCGGAATATTTTTGGCCTCATTGGTCCCAATGCAGGGCTTGGCTTTGCCATAGGTAAGAAGTGCCCTTCAAGGAAATAAGGAGGCTCTGAATGTTGGTCTGTGGAAAGGCAGGCAGACCAGGAGGGCAGCAGGCAGGGGTGTAGAGAGAGGAGCTCATATTCCTACCTGGAATGGGTGCCGTGTTGAGTGCGGGGTCCACAGGCTAAGGAAGCCAACTAAAGAGGGGAGGCGGAGGGAGGGTGCACAGACAGCGAGGGGCCTGCGGGTGCTGCTGACAAAAGGAGTCCTGTCTGCTCTGGCCACAGGCATGGTGGATTCCTCTATGATGCCCATCATGGGGCACCTGGTGGACCTGCGCCACACTTCTGTGTATGGGAATGTCTACGCCATCGCTGACGTGGCTTTTTGCATGGGCTTTGCTATAGGTATGTTGGTGGGGATGGAGGGGAAGAGAGGAGCACCCAGGAGCTGGTGTCCTTGTCTCCGTTTTCCACCGGCGACCAGCTGGAAGTGGAGCTAGGAGGCCGATCCTCCCAGGGTTCCGGAGATACTTGACCCTGAGACATCCTCTGGGTCACATGGGGGTACCTCCCATGTGACCAAGCCTCATAAACACTAGCTACTTGGATTTGTCCCTCACAGGCCCATCCACGGGTGGTGCCATTGTACGTGCTCTGGGCTTCCCCTGGCTCATGGTCATCATTGGAGTCGTCAACATCGCCTTCGCCCCTCTCTGCTGCTTCCTGCGGAGCCCCCCGGCCCGGGAGGAGAAGCTGGTAAGGGGCTCTGCTACTGCTAAAAAAATCTTGGTTCTTTCCATGTCTGTCTCATTCCTTTTCATCCAGTGCTCTTCCTTCCTCCCTCTTCAATCGTCTCTCTGCTTTGCCAGGTGTTCTGATCTCTTTTTTCATCTTTATTTTTCCTCTGTGGACTTGCTTATTTTCCCTTCTCTACATGACCACTTCCTCTCTCAGGCAGGCGGTGAAGCAGGGTCAGGAGCGGGGACCATCAAAGGCTGTAATTACCTGCAAGATGTTCATTACCAAATTATCTCCCTAAGATGGATAGAATTCCACTGGGTTCATTCATTCATTCGTTCATTCGTTCATTCATTCCTGTCTACCATGATCCTTACCAGGTCACCTCTTAAAGTACCAGACCTCTGGGGAGGGAACCACATCCTCAGATTTTAGTTAACAAGATACTTTCCTCTGATTGCAGCACGAGCGCCTTGAGGGGGTAGGAGGTTAGGGAAGGATGTAGTGCCTGCTAAGAGCAACGACAGGAGAAAGGACGGTCTTAAGGCCAAGGGTGGGGGGCTGCCAATTTCAGCTGTAGCCTGCGCTAGCCCCCGCTGTTAGGATTCAGTTACAGGATATCAGGTGTTGCCAGCGCCGAAGCGAACAGCGAGTTCCCGAGCGAGCAGCGCTGGGCTTGGGCGAGCTAGCTGGGAAGGAGGGCGGAGCCTGAGGAAGGCAGGCGGTGATTCTCTCCCGGCCTCTCGCTGCAGGCAATCCTGGGCCAGGACTGCCGCCTGGAGACCCAGGTGCACGCGGTCCAGAAGCCCACGAGAGCGTTTCCCCTGGGAGAGGACAGCGATGAGGAGCCTGGCAGCGAGGAGTAGCAGCAGACGGTGGTCCCTGAGCCTGTCACATGTGGCTCTCTGAGGCTCAGACTTCGGTGACCACCCCTCTCCCTGGAACCAGACCACACGGGCCTCTCAGTAGGCTTCACTTCCCTCTCCCTGGGTGTCTCTTAACCTCCCCTTCCCCCATGTCAACCCAGGTTCTCTCCTCCCCTGTGTCCCCCATGGCTCTCCCTCTACACGTTGATGCCTCAGGTGGCCCAGGTTTGGTGGGAGGACAGAATGATGCTTTCTCCTGGGCTTCCGGGAGGCTGGCTGAACTTGAGCTATGACAGGTTCTGCAAGGGGTGACTCATCCCCCGGAGGCAGCAGTGAGCACAGCTTGCCGCTGAAACCAGTGGGGAGCTGATGAACCTCATTTCATGCGCTGCCTGATTTCCCTCCGCATGTCCCCAGCAGGCTCCCGGGGTTCTGCGCTCTGTTCCTCCCTGAGGTTTCCCGGCTAAGCTGAGAAAGCGTCTACACGATGTACTGCTCCTAAATTGCCAATGTGGGGACTCTTTGGCCTGGTTTTTAGTGCTTTTGCTCCACAGCAAAGCTTACAGCTGCTAACGTGACTTTGTCCTCAGTGAATAGAGGACTCTCTTCGTTACCAAATGGAAGGGAAAGTGCCTGTGTATGTTACGCTTTCAGTTACTGGCATTCTCACTATTTCTTCTGTGGGTCTCCACCTTTCCTCAACCTCTGAAACTGAAAAATAGAAGTAGGAGGACAGAAAAAACACATCTGTTCATCCCAGGATTTCACGGGAAGAAGTCCAAAAGCAGCTGCCCTAAAATTCCTTCCAACTGTGGATTTCCTAATTTTTTCCCAAGGATCTCAATGAGGCATTGCGCACACTTGCTAATGGATGCGTTATCACACAATTCAGAAGCAGTAAACTAGATGCTCTTTTGTAGCAAAAGAAAGTCTGTGGGAAAATACATTAGGTACTGTAAACATGTGGCCTTTTTGCTACTTTTTGGAAACAGTTATTGAATGATGGGATTTCAGAGAGACGGGGAACATGGCACCCACCCTGAACTGGCTTCCCATCTATTTGGGCCCATGGGACGTACACAGATTAACAGGATCAATAACTGCCAGTTGGTGTACGCTCTGCTCAGGTGTAAAGAGGCAGGGATGACCGTCATCTGGGTGGGGAATAACGGCAGAGATGGAGGCAGAGGCAGGAATGGGAAGGCCCACAGGTGCGTGGCGCGGGGCGCCTGGGGGTCAGGCGGGGCCATCCCGGCTTGACTCTGGAATGCTGCCTGGCTCTGATGGCTGCGTGCCTGCGGAGGAGGTTGGTGGATTCCACCCAAGCTCCGGGTCATCAGAACACATTCAAGCTGAACCTCCGTGAATCTTATCATTTATGGACAATGGGTGACTGATTCACGGCTATGTTTTTACAGGGTTGGCATTCACTAGACTTGCCGGATACGTGAAACCTGGTGTGCTCATGTTATCATTTACAGGATGATACTTGTCTCTAATTTTGAAGGAGCTCTCCGATAAAATTAGGAAGTCATTTGTCAGAATATGTAAGCTGTAACTACAAATGCAGGCTAAGCGGAGGTCCCCTTGCGGTGGGAGGGGTCTCGGTGGGGTGTGGAGGGCCTGGGGCCCCAACAGTGGAGCCCTGCTGAGTCCCACGCCCACGCAGAGGAGGACTTACAATAAGGGACGGGCTTGTTACAGAAATTGTTAACACATTTAAAAAAATTAAGATTTTTTTTTAAAAAAGGAAGTCATTCTTGCCAGTTAACATTGTTTGAGCAATATAAAGCGTATTTAAGAAGAAACCAACAGATACTTATTCAGACCAGAGTCAACACCAAACACTCCAAGTCAGTCAGGACGCATTTTTTGTTACCAACCAGAAATAAGCCATATGCCCTGGCTGGTGTGGCTCAGTGCGCTGAGTGCCGGCCTGCAAGCCAAAAGGTCGCCCCTTCCATTCCCAGTCAGGGCACCTGCCTAGGTTGTGCGCCAGGTCCCCAGGTGGGGGGCTTGTGAGAGGCAACCGATCTATGTATTTCTTGTGCATCAATGTTTCTCTCCCTCTCTTTCTCCCTCCCTTCCTCTCTCTCTAAAAACCAATAAATAAAATCTTTTAAAAATACTTTTAAAAAGAAATAGGGTTAAACATAGCCTGTGTATGAAATATGTAAAAAGGAGAATCACGTAAAGGCGACAATGGAATTTGTCTTTACTAGTGGCTTTACAAGTGTCGTGAAGAAAAGAATGTGTGGTACACGTTCACATTTAGAGATGATGCGAAGTTCTTCTAAAAATGCAAATACCAACTCAAAAAGAATGAGCCACAAGATTTTTTTTTTTTTTAGAAAAGTACCATAAAATATCAGAGGGCCCCACTGTGAAAGGTTGAGGCTATGCATTTCCCCTTATGAAAGGCAAGAGGTGCAGAGATTCGAAACCTGTCCTTTGCGTGAGAAGCTCTGAGCTACCAATCGCGAGGCAGCGAAGACAAGGAGCGAATGAGCTATGTGCGCATGCTCGTTTTCAGAGTGCCAGAAACAAAGCAGAAGACGTGTGATTTCCGAAGTACAAAACCTGGGGTGGAAGCTACTACCAGTTAAGCCCATAACCGGAGTCAGGAAAAAGGCAGAGGGAGCGTGTGAGGTGATGAGTTAGTGCTGGAGAGACACAGGGAAGTTCTCACAGGGTTTCAGCATTGCGGTTGCAAAGTCCAGTGCCAGCTGATACTTGGTCCTTTGAATGGGATCTGCTGCCACTTCTGGCTTTTAGGATATTTTTCCGGGTCTTTACAAATTTTGCAATAGTGACTCTTGGTGGAGGTTACTTAATTCATTGTGCTGCGGTCCAATAGACCCCTTTAATCTAAAAAATCGTATTCTTTTGTGCTGGGAATTTTATTGTTCAGTCTTGTTGATAATTTCTTCTATGCCTGCCTTTTGCTTTCTTTCTGGAAATCTTATTAGTTGGCTGTGGGCTTCTTGGATTGATTGATCTTTCTTTTTCCTTCCATTCAATCTCTTAAAATTTATTTGTTCTGCTCTCTGAGAGATTTCCTCAATTCTACATCCAGCGGTCCTTTGTGATATATATTTTTTTCATTTTAGCTATCATAATTTATAAGAGCTCTCCAATTTTTTATAGCCTCCTAATCTCATTTCATGGTTGCAATATTTTCTCTCTCTCAGAGTAAGTCAAATTATTCTTCGCTCCCTGCATTTGTTCGTGTCCTTGGTTCTGGTGTTCGCTTATTTGAGCTGTTTTCCGTTGTGGAGACTTTCCTTTGAAAACCCGGGATAACTGGCTCTTGCGAACTCCTGGGGTGACCGGGTAGGAGCTGACACTTTTACCACTGGGGCGAGCACCCCAGTGTCAGTGTCTGTTGGTCACATCTCTATGGTACTGTCGGCATTTAGAAAAGTGGAGCAAAGGGATCTCGACATTGAGCTTAATAAACTGGGGAACATAAGCCTGTTTGCTTCACCAGGAAGCTGCAGCTTCACACTCCAGGGGACCACAGCATTGTGGTCACCCAGGGGATTAACAATCCTCTGCTCCTGCTCCAGTACTGGATTGTTGGGGGCAGGGAGGGGGGCACAGAGGGAGGTGCTGGGCTATAGAGGTCTGTCAGTCTAAGAAGGGGTATAAACCCGTGCAAAAGCCCATGACAGTTTGGGAAGTTGACTTGTTTGAGAAAGCACATGGCCCAACCCAAGCCCAAGCTAATACAATCCCAGAGGAACAAAGAAGCTTTCTCTCTCCCCGCCCTCCTCCCCGCTCACTTGTGACCTGCACTCACCTCTTCTCTCCATGGCCCTGTGGCCCTCCCAGCCACGCGGCCTGTGGGCATGCATCTCCACACCAGGCCGCGGCAGTGGGGCAGCTCAGCAATGGGCTGCAGCTAGAAACACATGCCAAGCTGGCCGGATGCTGGTCTGGACTGCACTTTAATGTGGGGCATGAATTCTGGGCAGTGGCCTTCATCCTGGCCCCACTGAAGACAAGACTGAACTTTTTCCATGGCAGGACAGAGGGAGATGGGACATTGGAAGCCCAGGGGGCAGCCTCTACTTCCACATGAATAAACCCTCTTGCCACCCCACAATCCCCAACGTGTGGGTCCTTGGAATGGTCTCCTTGTGATCCTGTGGGAGAACCTAGTTTCCACCAACAACATCTAGATGCTTCAGTGCAAACAGTTCTTCCTGGTGGGGGATGGGGGAGTAAAGTTAACATATTGGGAACAAGGTGGCTTCAGGGGGCTCATAGTGGAGGGGTGGATGTCAACTGGGCACCCTCACTGTTTGAAGTGTGGCACATCTCCTCTGCCTTCCGTTGTGAATAATGTCCTCAGGATTTCTGGGGTTTTTGTTTGTTTGTTTTGCTCTCTGGTTCCATTTTTCCAGAGTAAACCCTTCTGCCTCAGTGACAAGTAGCTATTAGCTGGCTCCGGTGTACAGGGGAAAGGATACATGTGTCCTTATATACACTCCTCCCGACAATCTGCCTTCTCTCGGCCCCTTACCTTGCACCACTTCAATTCCTAATTATTCCTGCAGTTCTGTGACATCAACTGACTTTATTGACACATCCTTTTGCTTTTTGGACAACCCATTTTCACTACTTTTCTCATCAATTTTTTTAAACAACTAATAGTTTATTTTAAAAGGTCAGTTTGAGCATCTGCAATGGTGACTTCTACCTCGAGTCCTGGCTCAGTGCTGATGGAAGCAATCTACTTAACAACCACAGAAAGGCTGTGCAAGTCAGTGAGTCGCTCGCGGATCCCCAACTGAACAAGATCTCAAGGCTTAGAACCTCCCCACTGGGAAAGAAGAGATTCTGAGTCTTGGGAGGCATCCAAACTGGTCCTGGTGCTTTGATATTCTTTTTCTTTGTGCCTCTGATCAAGTCAGCACGCACCTTCTCCGAGGGCTTTAGGTAGTGGCTGGTTGAAGGAATTCTAATTCAGTGAATTGCCACCTCTGGTTCCCACA